ATCTCAGCTCATTGTAACCTCTCCTTCCAGGCTCAAGCAACCCTCTCACTGCAGTCTCCCGAGTAGCTGGGACCACAGGCATGTGCCACCATGCCTGGCCAACTTTTGTATTTTTGGTAGAGATGGGGTTTCACCATGTTACCCAGGTTGGTCTCAAACTCCTGAGCTCAAATGATCTGCCCCCTTGGCCTCCCAGAGTGGTAGAATTACAGATCTGAGCCCCCGTGTTGCGCCGAAATTCTTTATTAAGAATAGAGTAATGCTACTTACGGCTCGTTTCACCCAGGTACATGATGGACTGGATGTCCAATTTCATTTCAATTGTAGGTGGGAATGATGGTTCGATGCTGTCGAACATATGAAGAAGTGTGCGAAGGTGACGTTGGCAAAGTCATCAAGCTGGACCGAGATGGGTTGCATGACCTCAATGTGCAGTGTGACTGGCAGCAGAAAGGGGGCACCTACTGGGTTAGGTATATTCATGTGGAACTTATAGGTGAGCACATTCTTTGTTCAGACTTTTGCTTTTTCTTTCAGACAGAATTCCCAAAAATGAAGGCTGATTATAATGCGTTTGTTGTTGAAATCTGTAGGCTATCCTCCACCAAGTTCTTCTTCTCACATCAAGATTGGTGATAAAGTGCGGGTCAAAACCTCTGTCACCACACCAAAATACAAATGGGGATCTGTGACTCACCAGAGTGTGGGGGTTGTGAAAGGTAATATTATCTGGGTAATAAAATTCCTGACGTTAACTTTTTATTAATGCACGTGTACTCAGTATTTCTTTTTCAAGCACAAAAAGAAAACACGTGTGAAGAAAGAGATAGCGTGTCCTTTTGATTGACAGTGCCTTCTACCAAAGACCATAGAAGAACTTGCCTGCAGTGAAAAAGTCAGGTTTATTAATATTAACTCATTGCAGTGCAGGGAAACACATGCCTTGGGGAATGGGTATCTCCATCAGAGGGTGTGAGCAAGGACTAATGAAGTTTATGTTGGATATTTGGGGGAGGGTTCGAGGAAGCAGGGGTAATTCTAAGGTAGCGTGTCTTAATAAATTTACCTAGCATGCAGAAAGATGGAGCCAGGCTGAAATCATATTTGGTAAGGAAGCAGTTATTCATATCACCAGGATGGGGCAATTTGTGGTTGTTTGTGATTCGGATAAGACTCGACCTTGATCATACATGTTAAGGAGGGGTTTTGGTTGTGCCTTGATTCATCAGTCACAGAGTGGCCTCATCTGATGCTGGTGTACTGTAAACGTGTCCTGTCAGTGGTTCTGTGAAATGGCGTAACTTGACATTAACAGGCCAGGTCTTGAGTGTCAGGACTGCCCTTCTCTTTTTCTTTCTTCTTTTTTCCCCCCCTGAGAACCTGAGAAACAGTTCTCAGGTTATATTTAATATGATATTATTGAGATTCCAAATCAAATCTGTGGCACACTTTGAAAGGCATTCTATGTGTGTTTTAACAGTTGCATGAGAAATAAGAATGCGTATAATTTTATGAATTCTTTATGCCACAAAGAGATTTTTTTGTTTGTTTGTTTGAACCTTATGGAAGGCTCTCTTTTCATGAAATCTCTTAGAAAATGGCCACAATTGGTGGTGGCTCCCCAGTGGATAGAGGTTCTTAGAGCTTCTCATGTTACATAAGAGCAAATGGATTGTTTAATGTTTCACTTTAAGCGTTTTTCTTTGCTTAAGAGTTGGTTAAAGTACTTGCAAATCAGAACAAGACAAATTTTAAAAATAAGATTGGCTTCTTTGTTTTGAGTGACACGTTGCTCTTATCAAAGGATAAAAGGAATCTTTACATCATGAACGTGGTTTTATTCCCTAAGTTACCAAAGGTATTATATGGAATTGTTGACTTGATGTAATTAAAAAGAAACAAAATTTCTTGTTTTAAACCTAATACAAAAGTAAAGAATGTAGTTTACAGTGAACCTCCATGTGTCCGTTAGCTGGCTTTAACAGTTGTTACCTCACGGCCAGAATTATTCATCCTCCTTTCTTGTGATTATTTTGAAACCAGTTGCTGACATCATGTGTTATTTCATCCATAAGTATTTTAGTACCTATCTCTAAAAGACATGCTCTTTGTGGAAAAAATAGCTCCGCGTAGTATGATGTGGCCAGGTGCAGTTCTAAGTCGAGGTTTTTATTGGTGAAGATGTGTCAGGCGATCTCTGTTCTGTCCCAGCTTTCAGTGCCAATGGGAAAGATGTCATTGTCGACTTTCCCCAGCAGTCTCACTGGACTGGCTTGCTGTCAGAAATGGAGTTGGTGCCCAGTGTTCATCCGGGGGTTACGTGAGTGATTTTTATGATTGCTAGATTTGCTTTGGGGTGAATGGTTTTCTGTTGAATTAGGTTTAATAAATGACCTTTCCTAACTCAATGGCTGTTTTACAAATAGGTGTGATGGCTGTCAGATGTTTCCTATCAATGGCTCCAGATTCAAATGCAGAAACTGTGATGACTTTGATTTCTGTGAAACGTGTTTCAAGACCAAAAAACACAATACCAGGCACACATTTGGCAGAATAAATGAACCAGGTATGGCAGAAAGTCTGTGTTCTCTCTTCCACCAAATGTTATTAATGAAACAGTCACTGTGGACCACAGTGTATTGGAATTTGTTATTTTAAGGTTCGTGCGTATACAGCGAGCTCTGTAGAGTGAGTGCAGTGAGACGGAGTGATGGTCCTGCCCTCTGATGACTGGCTGGCTTTTTAAAAAATTAGGGATAGGGTATTGGGGAAGAATTAGAATAACTAGGCTTGTTTGCTTGTATTTCCATAAGGAAACAAAAGAATCTCGAGAAACTAGTTAGTGTTTAGTTGCGTGGCATTTGGAATTGGTTAGATGGGGAGGTTTTTTTGTATACCTTTTATTATATTTTTCATTGGGGCAAAATATATATAACTTAAAACTCCCATGTTCTGTACTTTCTACTAAAAGTACAGAAATGAGGTTGGTGTGGTGGCACACGCCTATAGTCCCAGCTACTTGGGATGCTAAGGCAGGAGAATTGCTTGAACTGGAGAGGCGGAGGCTGCAGTGAGCCAAGAATGCACCATTGCATTCCAGCCTGGGGACATAGTGAGACTCCATCTCAAAAAAAAAACCACTTAATTATTTTCTAAGTTTGTAATTCAGAGTATTAAGTACCGTAAGTACAGTGTTGCACAACCATCACAGCTGTCTATTACCCAAACTTCTCACCACTCCCGTCAGAAACCGTGCCCATTAAGCATTCTAACCCCCCGTTTCCCCTACCCTACCCCTGGGAACTTTGAATCTAACTTTGCTCTCAATGAATTTGACTACCCCAGATACCTCATCTAGATGGAACCATGTAAGATTTATTCTTTTGTGTTTAACATAATGTCTTCAAGCTTCATCCATATTGTAGCATGTGTCAGAACTTAATTCTTTTTAATGGCTGAATAATATTCCATTATATGTATATATCACCTTTTTTTTTCTTTTTTGAGATGGAGTCTCACTGTGTCACTCAAGCTGGAGTGCAGTGGCGCAATCTCGGCTCCCTGCAGCCTCCGCCTCCTGGGTTCAAGCAATTCTCCTGTCTCAGCCTACAGAATAGCTGGGATTGTAGGCCTGCACCAGTATGCCCAGCTAATTTTCATTCATTCATTCATTTTTGAGACAGAGTCTCGCTATGTCGCCCAGGCTGGAGTGCATTGACATGATCTTGGCTGACTGCAACCTCCACTTCCCGGGTTCAAGTGATTCTCTTGCCTCAGCCTCCAGAGTAGCTGGGGTTACAGGCGCGTGCCACCACATCCAGCTGATTTTTGTATTTTTAATAGGCACAAGGTTTCACCATGTTGGCTAGGCTGGTCTTGAACCCCTGACCTCAAGTGATCCGCCTGCCTTGGTCTTCCAGAGTGCTGGGATTATAGGCGTGAGCCACTGACTGGCAAATTTTGTGTTTTTAGTAGAGATGGGTTTTACCATGTTGGCCAGACTGATCTCAAATTCCTGACCTCAAGTGATCTGCCCACCTCAGCCTCCCAAAGTGATGGGATTACAGGCATGAGCTGCCACACCCAGCTTATATAACATTTAATTTATCTGTCAATGGACATTTGGGTTGTTTCTGCTATCAGAATCATAGGTGTGCACCACCATGCCCAGTTAATTTTTTTTTTATTTTATTTCAAGTAGAGATGGGGTTTCACCATGTTGATCAGGCTCGTCTTGAACTCCTGACCTCAGGTGATCCACCACCTGCTTTGCCCTTCCAGAGAGCTGGGATTAGAGGCATGAGCCTCCTCGTCCGGTCGTGTTTTCAAGAGTGGCTGTACCATTTTACATTCCCACTAGCAATGTCTGAGAGTTGCAGTTTCTTTACATCCTTATCAATACTTGTTATTTTCTGTTTTTGGTTTTGACTGTGCTAGCAGGTGAGAAGTGGTATCTTGTGATTTTGATTTGAATTTCCCTAATGACAAGTGACATCGAGCCTCTTTTCATGTGTGTTTTGGTCATTTATATACCCTTTTTGAGAAAATGCCTTTTTTTTCTGAGACGGAGTCTTGTCTTGTTGCACATGCTGGAGTGCATTGGCGCGATACCAGCTCACGGCAACCTCCGCCTCCCAGATTCAAGCAGTTCTCCTCTCTCAGCCTCCTGAGTAGCTGGGATTACAGGAGCCCACCACCACATCCGGCTAATTTTTGTATTTTTAGTAGAGAAGGGGTTTCATCATGTTGGCCAGGCTGGTCTGGAACTTCTGACCTGAGGTGATCCACTCACCTCGGGCTCCCAAAGTGCTGGGATTATAGGCATGAGCCACTGTGCCTGGCCAGAAATGTCTTTTAAAGCCCTTCACCTATTTTAAAATTTTTGATGTCAAGTTGTATGAGTTATTTATGTATGTTAAACCTCTATTAGATTTGCGATTTACAAATATTTTATCCCATTCTATAATTTTTTTGTTTTTTTGTGAGACAGTCTTACTCTGTCACCAGGCTGAAGTGCAATGGTATGATCTTGGCTCACTGCAGCCTTCACCTCCCCAGTTCAAGTGATTCTCCTGCTTCAGCCTCCCGAATAGCTGAGATTACAGGTGTCTGCCACCACACTCATCTAATTTTTTTTTTTTTGAGACGGAGTGTCACTCATGTTGCCCAGGCTGGAGTGCAATGGCGCGATCTTGGCTCACCGCAACCTCCGCCTCCTGGGTTCAGGCAATTCTCCTGCCTCAGCCTCCTGAGTAGCTGGGATTACAGGCATGCGCCACTATGCCCAGTTAATTTTTTGTATTTTTAGTAGAGACAGGGTTTCACCATGTTGACCAGGATGGTGTCGATCTCTTGACCTCGTGATCCACCCGACTCGGCCTCCCAAAGTGCTGGGATTACAGGCTTGAGCCACCGCGCCCGGCCACACTCATCTAATTTTTGTATTTTTAGTAGAGATGGAGTTTCACCATGTTGGCCAGGTAGTCTAGAACTTCTGACCTCAGGTTATCCATCTGCCTTGGCCTCCCAAACTATTGGGATTACAGGCATGAGCCACTGCCCCTGGCCTGTAAGTTGTTATTTTATTCCCTTGATAGGATCCGGTGATGCTCAAAAGTTAAAAAAAAATTTTTATTTAAGACGGAGTCTTGGTCTATTGACCAGGCTCCAGTGCAGTGTCACAATCATAGCTCACTGTAGCCTTAATCTCCTGTGTTGAAGTCATCCTCCTCCCTCAGCCTCCTGAGGAGTTGGGACTGCAAGGGTGCACCACCATGCCCAGCTAAGTTTTAAAATGCCATTTGAGTTCTAGATTTGCCATTAATGGAAGTGGAAGCACATTAGAATTTACTTTTCGCCTTATATTTATAAAAGCATTTTTAATAAGAATGGTTGTTGTGAGTGCTGTTATTGAACTTTTCCCACAGCTTATTTATATCTTGTTTGGAAATATAATAAAAATTTACTTGGAAATACCACCTGTCAATACTCATTTTGTGTTTTAATTTATAAGTTATTTCAAAGTTACAGAGTTATATGTCATTCAATTTTATTGTCAGAGATTTTAAACAGTATGAGTAACAGATTTTATGTCACTGACCTTGGAGACTTTAGCAGAGTAAATCATAGCATTGTATGGACTTCATCTCATAAATTGGTGTAATGTATCTTGACTAGGCTTTTTGAAGCTGTTTGTGGCATTTATCGGCTCCTTTCAGTTTGAAGCTCCTCATGGTGTAATATTCTTGACTGCCTGATCATGGGGTTTCTCCCCAGTTCAGCAAGGGTTAACTCTCTTTTTGACCATCATGAAATAGGTCAGTCTGCGGTATTTTGTGGCCGTTCTGGAAAACAGCTGAAGCGTTGCCACAGCAGCCAGCCAGGCATGCTGCTGGACAGCTGGTCCCGCATGGTGAAGAGCCTCAACGTGTCGTCCTCTGTGAACCAGGCGTCCCGTCTCATCGATGGCAGCGAGCCCTGCTGGCAGTCCTCGGGGTCGCAGGGAAAGGTAGTGTGCGCCGGGGCTGGCCGCAGGCACTTCCTCTCACATGGTTTTGCGTCATACGTTTTCAAAATCAACTTTGAGCAGCCGGCAAAGTTTTGTTGATACCACCTGTCAGTACTCATTTTATGCTTTAATTTTAAGTGATTTCAAAGTCACAGAGTTACGCACCATCCAGCTTGATTGTCCGAGATTTTAAACAGTGTGAGGAACAGACTGTATCTAACTGGCCGCTGGATAGCGGATGTGGTCAGGATGTTTTTCCTCCTCTCCTGCATAAAATGTGTGAATTCAGTTTGCTTCTCCTTAAAGATTTTTCTAGTGTAGTCTAACAAATTTGTGCTGCACGTTGGAGTGCCATCGTGATGACCCGGAGACGTGGGTGCGGCTCGTGGGCACAGGTCGGACTTGAGGACAGGCCTTTCTCCATCGAGACCCTAGTTTTCTCTCACCCACTTGGTGGGTATGAAAGGACCCCCTCGGTCAGGAGTCTATAAATACATTGTTCCTGGGGCCTAGAGGGAGACTTTTCTCTAACGATCAAAGAAAGGGGGAGAATATTCTTGTTGCTGCTAGGGTGAGGGGAAATTCTCTCTCATGCCACATTTTATACTGGAAAAATCTCGTTGATTCAAGCTTCAGTGATACCATTGGAGCAGCGAATGTAGCTGAACTTTGCTAACTGAAAACGTGGGTTTTGTTTTTGTTTTTTTAAAGCACTGGATTCGTTTGGAGATTTTCCCTGATGTTCTTGTTCATAGATTAAAAATGATCGTAGATCCTGCAGACAGCAGCTATATGCCATCCCTCGTTGTGGTGTCAGGTAATTCAGTTCCTTTACCTAAAAAAAGTACCTTCTGTCATAAAGATGCCTTTGCTTGATTCTTTACCCATTTTCTCCTAGGTGGAAATTCCTTAAATAACCTTATTGAACTAAAGACAATCAATATTAACCCTTCTGACACCACAGTGCCCCTCCTGAATGACTGCACAGAGGTAAGTAGCAATGGTAGTGTTCCATTTGGATGATTTGCAGATGACAAGGGAGCTGACTGGGCCATTTCTATACTAGGATTGAGCCCAGTTTCCCCCCCTTAGAATTGGTTGTATCTGTTTTAAAATTGGACACTTTAAAAGATAGAACTTATTTTACACAACTTGAATTTGCTGCTTGTCAGATCAGCTTGGAGAGGAAACAGATTTCATCCCCACTCCCTTTGGTAGCAGAGGTTTACTCGGTAGGTGCTCCCAGCAGGGTTGTCATCAGGCATCTCAGGTTACCGTTTGCATCTGCACCCTGTTGTTTTCATGAAATCCCTCTTAGTTTCTGGTGGTTTTTCTGACCATGTAGGTGATGCTGACGTTAGTTTTTTGTTATCACACCTGTTGGCATCAAGGGCTGAACTGGTCATGGAGTGGCAGTTTTTTGGTAATAAGGCAACTTTCAAAATGAATCTAAGTTTATCTCTGGAAAAGGTTGAGAGAATCCGTGAAGATTCTTTTAAACAGTACCCATGCACTACAGATGAGCAATTCTCTGTCTCTCAAATTTTCAGTAAACCTTTCCACATAAAATGTCAACATGGTTTTAATACATCAAGTATATGTAAAATAAGACAAATTAAGACAGGTGTTTGTATTGCCTATACTGTTGTCTTGCGTGGACTGATTATAATAACAGTATATAAAAATATCAAATAGTTGATTTTTGTATTCATTTAAAGTTTATAACAGATAAGTTTATTTTTAAATTATTAAACGCAGTTTACCATTCGTTTTTTAAGAAGTTTTATTTTAGTTTTAATTGACAGTAATTTGTAATAATTTGTATATATTTTTTGAGAACACATGTTTTATTACATGTATGCTTTGTGGAATGATCAAGTCATGCTAAATAATATATCACGTCAAATGTTTATCACTTTTTTGTGATGAGAACATTTGAAATCCTCTTTTTTAGCTACTTTGAAATATCTAATGCAATCACTGTTGTCACCGTTTATTCTGGAATGCCATTGAACCTCGTCGGCCCAGTGTATTTCGTAATAGACTGATTTGTTATAGCCAATACCAATGGTGCTAATGACTGAAGAAATTGGCAGATTATAAAAATGACAGATAATATTGAATTTTTCTGAAAAAAATCTTGAATTTTAATACATTTTACTGGTAACTTACTGCATTGAAACAGAATACATCCTGTAGAGTGCCTTAGTTATATAGTTCAGAGTATTTTTTTTACTCTGACCAAACAAATAACTACAGTTAATTAAATCAACAACAGAGATTGTCATTCATAAAAGATATCTTTACTTAATCCAAGAAATTTTCAATTCAAAACGGTTTATCCTGTGGTATTTAGTGTATGTCATGTACATGAGAAACATGAAGTGTTGTGAGTAAATGGAAAACTCCTGACCTAGCCTGCATGCCCCAACCCACCAGAGAGCTGGAATGTACCATTCCTGTGGAGCTGCTGAGTCTTAAGCATGGCCTTTGCTGTATGAATAGTTTGTTATGGGAATTTTTTTTCTTTTTTTTGAGACGGAGTCTTGCTCTGTCACCCACGTGCAAGTGCAGTGGCGTGATCTCGGCTCACTGCAACTGTTGCCGCCTGGGTTCAAGCAGTTCTCCTGCCTCAGATTCCCAAGTAGCTGGGATTACAGGTGTCGACCACCTTGCCCAGCGAATTTTTATATTTTTAGTAGAGACATGTTAGCCAGGCTGGTCTCAAACTCCTGACCTCAGGTGATCTTCCCGCCATAGCCTCCCAAAGTGCTGGGATTATAGGCATGAGCCACCACGCCCAGCTGGGAATTTTATAACACGTAAATAAACAAAAATAGAAAGTATGCTGGAAACCCTACAGACCTGCCACCCAGCTTCAACATTTATCAATGTTTTGCTAGTCGTGTGTGACTCTCTCCCACCTCATTTCCCTGCCCCAGCGAGTCTTTAATGTCATGTAATATCCAGTAAGTGTCTAGATTGTCTAGTTATCTTGTAAATGACCTTTTGCAGTTGGTTTGTGTGAATCACGATTCAGGTGATGTTTGCATTCTACGCTACATGGAAGTCTTAATTCTCTTGTTGTTTTTCCTTGCTAAAGAAAAAATAAAGAAACTGGGTAATTTTTTTTCTGTAGCATTCTTGGTATTCTCAACTTGGCTTTTGCATCGCTGTGGTGGCGGTCAATCTGTATTTCCTCTGGAATGGTAGATCCTGAGGGTGATCAGGTCTAGTGTCAGCAATAAAAAGTAATTGTTAGTGTGCGCTTTGTTCACATGAAGTACAGGGATAGAGGAATGTTGTTGTCAGTACCACAGCAGGCATGCAGTCTGCCACGTGGGGTATGGGGCATTTTTAGGACAAATAGACCACCTCCCCTAAATGCATGGCAAAGGCAGAACAGGGGGAGGAGGTTGGGTCTTGCTTGTGTTCTGATTTGAATGAGGCAACAATACAATGACATGAGATGATCAGAAAAGTTTGATTACTGTAGCACATTAGATGATACGGGAATTACTGTTTGTGCTGTGATAATAGTAATGTGGATATGTTTTTCAAAAGCTCCTTAATTCTGCCCGGGCGTGGTGGCTCACGCCTGCAATCCCAGCACTTCGGGAGGCTGAGGTGTACGGATCACCAGAGGTCAGGAGTTCGAGACCAGACTGGCCAACATGATGAAACCCTGTCTCTACTAAAAATACAAAAAATTAGCCAGGCGTCATGGCACATGCCTGTGGTCCCAGCTACTCCAGAGGCTGAGGTGGGAGAATGGCTTGAATCTAGGAGGGGGAGGTTGCAATGAGCCAAGATCACACCACTGCAGTCCATCCTGGGCAACAAGTGGGATTGTGCCTCAAAAACAAAACGAAACAAACCCCCAAACCTCCTTAATTCAGTGCTAATACTGAAGTTTTGAAACAACATAATGCTTGGAATTTTTTTAATGATAATCCATATCTGAACAAGATTCGTCACATGTTAATAACTGTTGAGCTGGGTCATGGAGTTTTTCGTACTGTTTGTTCTAATTTTTGTATATTCAAATATGTTTTAAAAACGATGAAAGGTATGTTACTACTTGACATTTAATCTCTTAAGGCATCGTGGTTCAAGAAAGTTCTAAGAAGAGTTGCAGTCATTCATTAAGGCTGTTATCCTATTGAAAAATTTTATGAAGAAAATCAGAATCTCATGCTTTAGGTAGATGAGTTGATCACTTCTTTTGAAGGTAAACATTACTCAAATGTGGCAGCATTACCTTTGAGTAACTCAGGTGGTATTCCCAGAACTTAAGTAAAGGAGCTCTAACTGTGTGCAGTGCTCATGTCTCACACCTCCTGCTCTCCAGTTAGAGAGTCTAATACGCTTGTTTCCACAAAGTCTGTAGATCACTGTTTTTGTGTCTAGTATCACAGGTATATTGAAATTGCCATAAAGCAGTGCAGGAGCTCAGGGATCGATTGTAAAATCCATGGTCTCATCCTGCTGGGCCGGATCCGTGCAGAGGAGGAAGATTTGGCTGCGGTTCCTTTCTTAGCTTCAGATAATGAAGAGGAGGAGGATGAGAAAGGCAGCAGTGGAAGGTGAGAGCCGTTGAGCTGTTTGTTACAGGTGCTCACTTACCTGCCTTCACCTGACCAGATCCTCGCTCAATTAGAGTGTGTCTCATACTGAGAGCCGTTTTATGTCCACAAGAATGGTACATTTTAATAGTTTTCAAAAATTATACTTTTTTTTTTAAAGAAAGTATTTAATGTAGTGACACATATTTAGAAAAACACCATCAAAAGAGGGAAATGAAAATGTTTAATACTTCTACCTGAAATGTCACTGGTACTATTTTGGTATATACCTCTGTAGTTTTCCTTTTTCTCTGTTCCTAAATGTATTTTCCTACGGAAATTATATGGTATATTTTAAAGCTCTTTTTCCTAAGTATTTTATCATTAACTTTAAAAAAATCTGTCTGTCTGTCTATTGAGACAGAGTCTTGCTCCAAATTTATTCTTTGAGACGAAGTCTGTCTCTGTCATCAGGCTAGAGTGCAGTGGTGCAGTTTTGGCTCACTGCGACCTCTGCCTCCTCGGTTCAAGCGATTCTCCTGCCTTAGCCTCCTGAGTAGCTGGGACTATAGGTGCACACTACCATGCCCAGCTAATTTTTGTATTTTTAGTGGAGATGGGGTTTCACCATGTTGGCCAGGATGGTCTCGATCTCTTGACTGCATGATCCTCCTGAAGTGCTGGGATTACAGGCATGAGCCACCATGCCCGGCTCTATTTATTTTTTATTATAGTGAAATACATATATTGGTTACTATTCTAAGTGTACAGTTCATTGGCATTAAGTACATTCACATTTTTGTGCAACCACCACTATTGTCCATCTCTAGAACTCCCATATGATTAAATCATCTTCTGTAATTTTTGAGCGCAGTATTTTGTCTTATGACTGTTCTCATTTACTCAGTTTCTTATTTTGTATGAGCACTGTGATGATGACTGTTGTTGTATTTATTCATTCAACATCTTTTGAACACCAACTGTGGGTGATTCCCAGTTATGTATGCTGGCAATACTGTGGCAAAGATGCAAAATAAAACAAGACAAACTCACATGCATCAGTGTGATGTGACGGCTTTGGTAAGAGGCAGGAGGAAGTTCATGCAGCCTTGAGAGTCTGCAGTGGAGCATTGATCTGTCAGGACAAGGAGAACTTCCCCAGGCCCTACATATACAGAAGGCAGAATTATCGAAACCAAGTGGGCAGCAAGGGCGTTTCTGGTCGGGAAAACAGCATCCCGGGGGAGAAGCATGGTGTCTGCTGAGGTTTTGCGTGCTTGAGCATTTCCCAGGGCATGTATCTGGAACTTGCATGTGCGGGGGCTGCTCTAAGCCTTGTTTACCATCCTGGCAGCAAACAGTGGATAATAATGGATAACAACAATGGAGGACAGTCAGTGTCCTCATATCTGTTGTATTTTCCTAGATAAATTGCTGAAAGTGAAATTGCTAAGTCAAAGGGCATGCAAAATAAATGGATATGTAGTTAACATTCCCAAGGCGCTTTGGATTGCTATTGTGACCTGGGCCCTGCAGACAGGCATAGGAGGCAAGCCGCCAGTGCTGGCTGAACTCTGTTGACGACATGCCCTGTGTTCAAGTGCTTTGCAGTGTGTGACATAAGGAGATGATGGAGCACTGCCCTGTGCTGCTGTTGAGCACATTATATGGACCGAAGCGGGTAGCAACTCTGGTAATCAGTCAGGTTATTCTAGGGCTCTGTCATCTTGGCTTTGGATTCTGTCCTGTTTTATTTCAGAACCTTTGTGTAGAAGTTGAAAAGAAAATAGTATCTATAACATTGCCTTATCTAGAATATATGTTATATGCTATAGTTCAAACTGATTGCATCTATATATATTAATTAAAGAGGGAAAATACTAGTTCACTTAAATAAGGAAGTCATTGGGATAAGCATTTTCTTACTAGCTGCTAAAATGAATTGGGCAAATAAAATTATTAATACATGTATATGTGGAATAGCCAAAAATGTTTTGAGCTTTACTCATTGATAAAATTTTTATGTAATTGAATGTATTGTCAAAAGAAAAGCTAGATATTTGAATATAATTTTTTTTTCTGGTAATATCTCATTAATTGGCCAGTAACTTCGGGTTGAGTGAATGGCCCAGGCAGTCTCCTACAGGGCTGGCACCCAGTGGGATGTTCCCATGTTGACCATGTACAGCTGGCCTCTACTCTGACTAATTGATACTTACATGGTACCAGACATTAAGTATCTTGAGTGTCAGTCCTGGTTCCTCATATATATATGTGTGTGTGTGTGTGTATATATATATATATATATATATACACACATACATACACACACACACACACACACATACATGTTTATGCATACAGAAACACACAGATGTATAGGAAATATATGTATATATTTTGAGATAGGGGTCTTGCTCTGTTGCCCAGTTTGGAGTGCAGTGATATGATCTCAGCTCACTGCAGCCTCCACCTCCCAGGCTCAAGTGATTCTCCCACCTCAGCCTCCCAAGTAGCTAGGATTACAGGTGTGTGCTACTACACCTGGCTAATTTTTTGTATTTTTTTTGTAGAGACTGGATTTTACTATGTTACCCAGGCTGGTCTCCAACTCCTGGGCTCAAGGGATCTGCCTGCTGTGGCCTCACAAAGTGCTGGGATTATAGGTGTGAGCCACCATACATGGCCCTCATACATTTTTTTTTTTTTTTTTTTTTTTTGAGATGGAGTTTCACTCATGTTACCCAGGCTGGAGTGCAATGGCGCGATCTCGGCTCACCGCAACCTCCGCCTCCTGGGTTCAGGCAATTCTCCTGCCTCAGCCTCCTGAGTAGCTGGGATTACAGGTATGCGCCACCATGCCCAGCTGATTTTTTGTACTTTTAGTAGAGACGGGGTTTCACCATGTTGACCAGGATGGTCTCGATCTCTTGACCTCGTGATCCACCCGCCTCGGCCTCCCACAGTGCTGGGATTACACCCCATACATATTTTTAAGTAAAAATGTGTCACAAGATATTTCAATATTTTGTGCATATGCTTGCCCACCTGTGCCTGGTATCAGATGAAGGAATTCTTCACTTCTATTCCAAAACATGGAACTTTGAACCTTTAAAGTAAATATATATTAGCATGTAAAGTGTGAAAAAAGTGTGATAACTATCTAGACAGAAGCTAGTCTCTGGTGCCTTTGGGCATCTATCCTAGCTTATAAAAACAGAGCAAAAACAAACAAAAAAGTGAAAACCGCAAACACAAAAGAAGCAGTTCCTGGGCAGCTGGCATCAGACCGTCAACCAAGAAAACCTAACAGTGTCCTGTGTACTTTTCTCAAGTTGGAGGAATTGGAGTGTTTTGGATGCTGTTGATAAAACTTCTAACCTGCTGGTTGTGGTGGCTTCCACCTGTAATCCCAGCACTTTAGGAGGCCAAGGGGGGAGGATCGCGTGAGCCCAGGAGCTCAAGACCAGCCTCGGTGATACAGTGATACCCCATCTGTACAAAAAAATGCAAAAATTAGTTGGGTATGGTGGTGCATGCCTATAGTCCCAGCTGTTTGGGAGGTTGAGGTGGGAGGATCGCTTGAGCTTGGGAGGTTGAAGCTACAGTGAACTGTGATTGTGCCACAGTATTCCAGCCTGAGTGATAGAGCATGACCCTGTCTCAAAACAAAGAAAAAATAAATAAAATTCCTAACCTGTTGAGGGCAGGTCAGGAGATAGATGAGCAAGGTGGAAGGAGCAAGCCCTCTGGGAAGGACAGGAGTTGAGGACTTTTAGCCCAGCTGGCTAGTGATGAGGTGCTTCTGGCAGGTGTCCTGGGCAGAGGGTGTAAAGGAAGAGACGCATTTTACATCAGGACATGTGTCTGTACTGAAGTATCTGCATGGTTGTGTGGCCATGTCAATTTTATTCTTTCTGTGGGAATATAATTGGCCAAACAGGTGTCTGGGTTTAGGGACATTGCCGCAAGGCCAGTTGCGGTGTGGCTCCTGGGAATGTTCCTCAGTGTCGCTCCAGTGCCGTCTGCAGGAGCTGTGCACCTGCGTCCCTGACTTGGAACGATTCCCACCCATGTTCAAGTTGGTATTTAAGATGAAAGAGAATGCCTAGTGTGCCATCCTTTTCCATCAGAAATAAGAGCTGAAAGTAAGTGCTGGTATTAAAAGGTAGCATGGTGGTACCTAGAAAATTTTAAGAGTTTCTGAAAGTAACCATAAAACCTCGAGTGCTTGAGGTTGCTTTTCTGTTTATTTTTAAAATGTTTGATGCTGAATAATCTCTATTTCTGTCCCCCCCCACCGCCCTTTGGTTAGCCTCATTAGAAAGAAGACTACAGGGCTGGAATCAACAGCTGCGATAAGAACCAAAGTGTTTGTGTGGGGCCTGAATGACAAGGACCAGCTGGGTGGGCTGAAAGGCTCCAAGGTATGGCGTGCCTCCTGAGACCAGCAGGGCAGGGCGCTCAGCAGCACCCACACCTTGTGAAGTTTTGTAATAACTTTACTCTATGTATGTTGTGTTTTAAATCAACATTTTGAAACTGTTTCTTGACACAATCTAACATACATGATCAAATTTAGTTTCTGAGAAGTCTCTCTCCTTGAAAAATTGCACTTTAGGTATAATTGTCTTATTATAGTCTTGTGAACTAGAAAATAAACTTTTGAAAAGATTTCACAAGTGCACAGATGAAAATTACAGACTATCAATAGATGTACCTTCCCTCCAGCTACAGTAAATTCTTTTGATTATCACAAAATCATGTGTAAAAAGGCCACAGTGGCACACATATGAGCAGGTTGTGGTCCTGTCCCCCGGCGCTTCACGCCTGAGATTCTTCAGGGTGAAGTAGCTTGCGCAGAGAGAGATTGGTTCCAGGACTTCCTGTGGATACCAAGATCTGTGGATGCCCAAGTCCCTGATGTAAAACAGTGTAGTGTTTGCACATAACCTGTGCACACCCTCCCACATGCTTTATATCCCCTCCAGATTAGTCAGAATACCTGATACAATGTAAATGGTACGTCAGTAGTGTTATATTACATTGTTTAGGGAATAATGGCAACAAAATGTCTGTACGCATTTAGTGCAGATGCAATAAAAAGCATTTTCAGCCCGTGGGTGGTAGCATTCATGGATACAGAGGACCAACTGTATTTTGTTTTTCAGCTTCTGTTATGGAAATGTTCAGATGCCCCAAATAGAGCGAGTGGCATCATGAACCCTCATGTCCCTGGTACCAGCTTCCATAGTCACCAGCAGCTGCCTATGTTTTTCTGTCCTTATCCTCCCATACCCCCAACTCTGGTTTAAAGTAAATCACAGTGTATCATTTCATTCTTAACATACTTTAGTGTGAATATCTAAGAGATAACCAACGCTTTTGGTTAATATAACCATACATACTAGCAGTACAGTCATGCATTACCTAATGATGGGGATACATTCTGAGAAAGCTATGGTCGGGTGATTTTGTCATTGTTGGAACGTGATAGAGTATACTTAACACAAACGTAGGTGGTGTAGCCTACTACACACTTCAGCTATGTGGTGTAGCCTGTTGGTCCTAGGCTACAAGATGTTACTGTATTGAATATGGAAGGCAGTTGTAATTCAACGGCATTTGTGTATTTAAACATAGAAAAGGTAGTGTAAAAATACAGTGTAAAAGATGAGCGATGGAACACCTGCATAGGACACTGAGCATGAAGATTGGAGGTTGCTCTGGGTGAGTCAGTGAGTGAGTGAGTGAATATGAAGGCACAGGGCATTCCTGCGCATTACTGTAGACTTTAGAAACACTATATGCTTCATCTATTTTTCTCTCTCCAATAATAAATAATTTGTAACTTCACTTTATGAACTTTCACTTTTCAAAAACTTTTTGACTTATAGTAACACTTAGCTTGAAACACAAACACATTATACATCTCTGTACAAAAATGTTTTCTTTACATTCTTATGCTGTAAGCTTTCTTCTAACATTTATTGTTTTACTTTTTAAACTTTTTTGTTGAAACTAAGACCCAGACACATACATTAGCCTAGCTGGGGTCATCACGGTCACTGTCTTTCATGCCCACACCTTGTCCCACTGAAAGGTCTTTGGGGCAGTAACACCTGGGTGCTGGCTGTCCTTTCCTGCGACAGAATCCCTCCTAAAGCATCGGCCTCAGGCTGTCTTACAGTCAGAAAATAAAAAGCAGAAGGAATACACTCTGACAGAATGATAGAAAGTGCAGGGTGGTGAACGAATAGTCCAGCAGCAGTCATCTGTGATATTAACAGGCGTTAGGGATTGTTCATATCCATCGCATTACCACAGACACGTGAGGAATAGGTTGCGCTGTGACGCCGTCATGGCCAGCTCATCACTGGGCAGTAAGGAGCTTTCAGCTCTGTTGTGTTGGAATGGGACTGCCGTTGTCTGCGTAGCCTGTTGTGGAGTGAAATGGTACGCGGTGTGCGACTGTCATTCCTTGTGTCATATGATAAGGTAACTTACAATTTGAAACATGCAAGTAAAAATTTTTTTTCTTAAAAAAATCCTGTTCTAGATAAAGGTTCCTTCGTTCTCTGAGACGCTGTCTGCTTTGAATGTGGTACAGGTGGCTGGTGGTTCTAAAAGTTTGTTTGCAGGTATGATTATTCTAATATTAAAAAATTTTTAAATTACACTTGGCACCAAAAAAAAAAGGTTTTACTGTTGTGAAAAGTGAGTCCTCTCTTGGCTGTCTTTCCTTGCAGTGACTGTGGAAGGGAAGGTGTATGCCTGTGGAGAAGCCACGAATGGCCGGCTGGGGCTGGGCCTTTCCAGCGGGACGGTGCCCATCCCACGGCAGATCACAGCCCTCAGCAGCTACATGGTCAAGAAGGTGGCCGTTCACTCAGGTACGTGCCGAGCACCAGCAGGCCCTCATTGGTGTCCTCACATTCTTTTTCAAGTTTTTACTCAGTAGGAATAAAAATTGGATAGTGTAAATCTGTAGGTGGTCTAGAATTTAATTATTGCTGCTAATTAAAGTTTTTTGCCTGAAAGCAGGCTGCTTTTCTGAGGAAGAGTCTATAATTTCTTCAGGTTTTCAAAAGTATCTATGAACCCAAGAGATGAGAAAATTCCCTTAAGAAAAACCACCCTTTCAGTGCAGGGAGCGTTTATTGTGGAAGCACTGTGCTAGGCTTCCAAAGAACAAAACCAAATCAGACACAAAGCTCAGTTCAGGCCTGTGCTGAATGGGGCCTGGTGTAACCTGCAAAACAGGAAATCCAAATGATAGTGGCTTAAGCAATATAGAGTTTTACTTTTCTCCTTTGGAAAAGTCCTGAGGTGGGGTCAGAGTCCATTCAGCTGGGCTGTGTCCTTTGTGGGAAGATGGTCTTAGACTAGCTTTGGCCCCCAGAGTCCAGGCCCAGGCCTGGCAGAAGAGGCAAGCAGCACTCAGCGTGCCCTCCTGCCCAAGCCCCTCTCCAGAGCCCCTCCGAAGCCCCCCTCATTTCAGGCACCATCTCCTGGGGCCGAGGCGGCTGGGAAGCGGTGTTCAGCGGAGCACATTGTCACCCTGGTAACATAGGGGTTCTGTTGGTGAGGAAGAAGGGCGAATGAATCTGCTGTGATGTTCTCAGAACCCAGGAGTTGGCAGGAACTCCGTGTAGAGGAGTGGTCATGCCTTTAATCCTCAGGCGGGTTGTATGGACTTTGAGAATATTCCTTGCTGGGGAAAGAGCATAAGCTGATGTGTTTTTGGAAGAGTAGGTATAATGCATTCATTGCAAATGATTAAATACTTTCACTTTTGAGATGTGTTTCTCAAAAGCTTAAATTGACACTATTTTTACATTTTACCTAATCACAAATTAGTTTTACTTTTTTCATCTAAATTTTGGTTTTTTATGTATTTAACATGATAGGAACCCCATTAATGATCAGTATTATTCTGCCTCTTTGCAAATTCTTTCTAGAGTTAAAATTTGTAGTTTAGTAAAAGTTCATTTGTTCAGCACGTCACCCAGAAAGCTTGCCTGATAACCCAGCTGTTGATCCTGTTGAGTTACTCACTTGTTCAGCTCACACTCAGCAGGTGTGTGCTATATGCCAGGCAGCATAGGGGGCCATACTGTGGGCTGTCTGTACCCTGCCCTTCAGCAGTCTGCATGTCTGTGAATGTTGCAGGTGGCCGGCACGCGACGGCTTTAACTGTCGATGGAAAAGTGTTTTCGTGGGGTGAAGGGGACGACGGAAAACTTGGACACTTCAGCAGAATGTAAGGGTATTTTCTTTAGTCTCATTTGCTAGTAAGAAACTGTGGCTGACTGATACTCTTGAGAGTTATTTTGCAGAAAATTAGAATAGGTTATTTATGGAAATGGATCTTTTTTTTTTGAGACCAAGTTTCGCTCCTGTTACCCAGGCTGGAGTGCAATGGCGCAATCTCGGCTCACCGCAACCTCCGCCTCCTGGGTTCAGGCAATTCTCCTGCCTCAACCTGCTGAGTAGCTGGGATTACAGGCACGCGCCACCATGCCCCGCTAATGTTTTGTATTTTTAGTAGAGACGGGGTTTCACCATGTTGACCAGGATGGTCTTAATCTCTTGACCTCGTGATCCACCCGCCTCGGCCTCCCAAAGTGCTGGGATTACAGGCTTGAGCCACTGCGCCTGGCGGAAATGGATCTTAAAAATTTTTTAACTTGGTTGTTTGTGTTTTGGTCTCATTAGTTCTGCCTTAAGGTTTGATAGTTGCTCTCTTGGATCTTGTGTTGCCTGCATGTGATCGGTATAGATGTCTTTTTTCCTTCTTCTCTAAGAAGGGATGGATTCACTGTAGGAAGCTGATTTCATCTTGTTGTAGGAACTGTGACAAGCCAAGGCTGATCGAGGCCCTGAAAACCAAGCGTATCCGGGACATCGCCTGTGGGAGCTCACACAGCGCGGCCCTCACGTCCAGTGGGGAACTGTACACCTGGGGCCTCGGCGAGTATGGCCGGCTGGGACATGGGGATAATACGACACAGCTAAAGCCCAAAATGGTGATTATATGCATTTTTGTTGCTTACAGAAAGCTTACCATCTGAAGATTTCAAGAGAAAATAAGCTTCAAGTCTGGGAAAATTCGTAAAGACATGTGCATGGTTGGCTTTCAGTCTGTGGGAAATGCCTTTGCTTGATTCTCTTTTTAAATTTGTAATTGAGTAGGTGAAAGTCCTTCTCGGTCACAGAGTAATCCAGGTTGCATGTGGGAGCAGAGACGCGCAGACCCTGGCTCTGACCGATGAAGGTGGGTGCCTGGCACGGTTCTGTGCTTCTGGGTGGGGTGGAGTGATGTGAAACGCTGGCCTGAAGCATGTGTATATTCTTGAACCTAGGTTTGGTATTTTCCTGGGGTGATGGTGACTTTGGGAAATTGGGCCGGGGTGGAAGTGAAGGCTGCAACGTTCCCCAGAACATTGAGAGGCTCAACGGACAGGGCGTTTGCCAGATTGAGTGTGGAGCTCAGTTCTCCCTGGCCCTCACCAAGTCTGGAGTGGTGTGGACATGGTACGTAAACTTCCTCCCTGTCACGGCGTGCGTGCTTGCGCAGGTGCATGCAGGGAACCTGGCGGATTCTTTCTTATGCATGCATCCTTGGCCTTTAAATGATATTGAGTTGGGATTAGTGACAGTAGTACAAGAAGAAATTTCCCATTGTAACTGAGTCATTTTGAAAATACTAGAAAAATTTTAGGCTACTTACCTTTCCTGTTTGGATGAGGTTCTTAGGAAGGGTTTCTTCTGCTGAAGGCTAAGGATAAAATGAGAGCAAATAACCTTCTGAATCCTTTGACCCTGTAAAAGTTAACATGTATTTCTTGTAAAAGCTTGTTTTATTAATACGGGAAAGAGCAGGTGCCTGGACTGGCCTTGGATGGTGTGTCAGGCCCTAGTGCCAATGTTATGACCAGAGGCAGCTTGAGAAAGATGGATACCAGATAGGACTTTGGATAGGTGTTTGCAGTAGTGTGTCTTATTTTCAGTCTCTTTATAGGAAAACCTACAACAGTAACTTGAATATCGTAAAACATGTATTAAGATATTAAGGTTTTTGACAGCAGATTTAATAAGTTAATTTGAATTTAATGGTGTATGATTTTGAATATAAATTCAGAGACCTTGGGTGCTGTTTGTGATGTCATTGAGCTGGCTGTAAAAGATGTGGGATGGTGAGTGTTTTCTTGTACAGCATTGCCAGACCATAACCATATTGTGACACTCCACCATTGTCTTTCTCTCAGGGGGAAGGGGGATTACTTCAGGTTGGGCCACGGCTCTGACGTGCACGTGCGGAAGCCACAGGTGGTGGAAGGACTGAGAGGGAAGAAGATCGTGCATGTGGCTGTCGGGGCCCTGCACTGCCTGGCAGTCACAGACTCAGGGCAGGTAAGGCTGCAGGTGGCCTGAGGGTGGCGTGCCATCCCGACTTGAGCATCAGGACACAGCCCTCATCCTGTGGAAATTGCAGCTGTGGATGAAATCCGCTGAGTCTTACTGCTTGAAGAACCATGAGGGTGGGACCCATTCATTTTGCCCATTCTGCCCACTCAGCAGCAGGGTTTGTGGGGTGGGGTCCTCAGAAAAGAGGCGTTCCCACTCTGAAGTCCACATGAAAGTGTGGAAAGATTGTTATCCTTGAAGATGCTGCTGCTACAACGTATTACAAGACTTTCCTTTAGAGAATTGCTGACTGGTGAGGAAGGATACGTGCCTCATTTTAGAGACAGAGCTGATGCTTGACAAATGTTATCTCTCTTCTGCTTTGAGAAGCCTATGCCATGACTGGCTTGTGGATATTCCATTTAAAATTTTATTTATGAAAACAAAATTACCATTACTGTTTTTTAGTCAAAATGAATTATACTTTACAATTCTATAAGGCCAAGAAGCAACTTATTTGAAAAATGAGCACATTGTTTTTGGTCCTTTTTCTTTGCAAAATAAAAGTGGAAAAATTATTGCCCTTAGTTGAAGAGAGGACCTTCTGTGTGCCTTGGAACAAAACAGAATTAACTGGATTAATATTAAGAAAATAATCTTTTCATAGTTATTGGCAAGCATTTTTCTGGTTAGTTTTTCTTGAGAATTGTACACTGGTGCCATTTTGTAAGATCGCAAAATGGTTTGTTTTTACCTTTAAGAACTCAATTCTTTTAACTACTGTGGCATACACATGAAGCATTTTGAAGTAAATTTAAAGAAGACACCTTGAAATGTTGAAAAATTGTAAGCTTTTTTTCCTCTTAAACAGGTGTACGCTTGGGGTGACAATGACCATGGCCAGCAGGGCAATGGCACAACCACAGTTAACAGGAAACCCACCCTCGTGCAAGGCTTAGAAGGCCAGAAGATCACACGCGTGGCTTGCGGGTCGTCCCACAGTGTGGCGTGGACAACCGTGGATGTGGCCACACCCTCTGTCCACGAGCCTGTCCTCTTCCAGACTGCAAGAGACCCTTTAGGTGCTTCCTATTTAGGTAACACAGATTTGTATCTTGTCTGAGATTTTTCTGTAGGTTGCAGCAACCTTGTAGGTTGATTTGTGCCAACACATTAGAGGTTGTAGTGCTGTGTTAATTGCATTATAAATCTAAAGACACAGAAGAATTATGGTGTGCTCTCATGCGATTTATGCATGCTGGGCTGAAAATTTTAGAAGAAAGTATGTTGCTGATTGCTGTATTTATGATCAGGGGAACTGGCTGTGCTGTTTATGTGTATAAACAGGACTCCTGATAATTACCTGAGAGATACAGGCACTGTACTGGGCGCCTTTGTATTCTTTAACAGCCTTACTCGGTTATAATTTACGTATAATAAACTGCACCTATTTAAAGGAAACATTTTGATCGCCTCTGAAAATTGAAATATGTATGATCCATGAAAGATACTGAACTCACACACTACTCCAGAGTTTCTGGCCCTCTGTAACCCTCCCTTTTGCTTTTAACCCCCCTCCTTCCTGCCGTAAGCACCAACTTAATTTCTGTCCCTATGGATCAGTTCACATGTTTTCTTTTTGTTGTTGTCGTCTGGTGTTTTTTTTTTTTTTTGGTCCTGAGGGTAGGAGGAGATAGGGTCTCACTCTGTTGCCTAGGCTGGAATGCAGTGGCATGATCTTGGCTCACTGAAGCTTCCACCTCCTGGGCTCAAGTGATCCTCCCACCTCAGCCTCCTGAATAACTGGGACTACAGGCCCATGTCATTATGCCCAGCTAATTTTTGTTTGTTTGTTTTTGGGGAGAAAGGGGTTTTGCCATGTGGTTCAGGTTGGTCTTGAACTCTTGAGCTCAAGTGATCCTCCCACTTTGGCCTCCCAAAGTGCTGGGATTATAGGCATGAGGCACTGTGGCAGGCCAGTTTGCATGTTTTACAGCTTACTATAAGTGGAATCATACAGCATATGCTCTTTTTTAAAATCTTTTTCCACTCAGCGTAATAATTTTGGGATTCCCTTATGTTGCATGTATCAGTAGTTTATTCTTTTTCAGTTGTTGAATAGTACCTTAGGATAAACAGATGCAACTTGTTGATCCATTTTTCTGTTTATGAATGTTTGGGCTGTTTCCAGTTTTTAACTACAAGAGAAATTGCAAATGGACTTTCCATACAAGCTTGTGTGTGGACATCTACTTGAAATTCTCTTGAGTAAACTCCTAGGAGAGGAGTGGTTGGACCCTCTGGTAGGTGTATGTCCAGCTTCTGAAGAAGCTACATGCTCTTTTGCAAAGTGGATATTCCAGAGGGCCAGGTCCTCCACATTTTTGTTAATACTTGATATGCTCAGTCTTTAGGTTTAGTTATACTGATAGATGTATAGTGGTGTCTCTTTGTGGTTTTAATTTGCATTTCATAAATAACTAATGATATTAAGCATCTTGCTTATTTGTGAATCAGATACGTTTTTTGGTGAATGTCCATTTGAGTCTTTTGCCCATATTTAAAATTAGGTTGGTTGTTTTCTTCCTGAGCTTGAGAGTTCCTTATATATTCTGGACACAAGTCCTTTGCTAAAGAAATAATTTGCTAATGTTTTCTGTCAATGTGGCTTGTCATTTTAGTCTCTTCACAGGTGAATCTTAAAGGTTAGAGGTTTTCAATTTCATTTTATTCTTTTGTAGAGCATACTTTTGATGTTGTGTCTACAAAACCTTTGCCTCCAGATTTTTAAGATTCTCTATGTTCTGTTACAGAAATTTTACAGTTTTAGACTTGTATATCTATGATCAGTTGATTAAATTTTATATTTGGTGGGAGATTCAGATTGAAAGGCTTTTTTTTTGGCATGATTTTCCAGTTGTTTCAGTTGTATTTTTTGAGAAACTTTGCTTTTTCTACTGAATTGCCTTTCATCTTTGTCAGAAATCAGTTGTCTGTGGATGTATGGATCTATTTCTGGACTCTCAGTCCTGTTTCATTGATTTATTTGTGGATTTTGGTGGCAATACCATATTGCCTTGATTACTACAGCTTTATGAAAGCCCTGAACTCAGGTTGTAACATTTCTTCCACTTTGTTCTTTTTCAAATATATTTTGGCTGTTGTAGGCCCTTTGCATTTTCATATAACTTTTAAAATGAGCTTGTTAGTTTTTATAAAAACCGCCTGGTTGGGATTTTGTTGAGGATTATGTTAATTCTGTGTCAACGTGGAAAGGGTGGATTCACAGCGTTTAGTCTTCTAACCTGTGAACATAATGTTTGTCTTTATTTGTTAGGTGTTTAATTTCTCTCAGCAGTGTTTTCTAGTCCCAGTGTTGCATAGGTCTTCCATATCTTTTGTTAGATTGTCTCTAAGAGTTTCAGATTATTAAACGGTCTCTTAAAAATACCATTTCTTCTACTGTATGGGAATATTCAGATTGATCCTTGCTAGCATGTTTTTGGTTTGTTTTTAAAGGGAACCTCATCTCCTCATACAAATATCTTGTTTTTCCCCTAATCTCTCAGGAGGGCACATTTAGGCTCCAGCAGCATCTGCTCTTATGAATAAGTGGAACGTGATCTTCTGGCCGTGACAGTTACTGGCTGTATGAACTGGGGCGAGTGATTTCGCCTTGTGCTGTCTTCTGGGGCAGATGAAGATAAGGCTTGACTCTCCTCGTCTTTTTTCTGGTTCAAATTACTCAGTAGTTTCTTAACATACAGCTCTTTTCACGTCACATTATGCATATAACTTCTGAGTTTGGCTTTTCCCACTCAGCCTAATCCTCTGGAGATTCATACAAGTTGTTACATGTTACGTACTTTGTTCAGTATTCTGTGGAATACTCAGCCATTGAAGGACATTTGGATTACTTCTAGGTTTTGGCTGTGACAAATAAAACTACCATGTCATTCATATACAGGTGAATGAAAATTCACTTGATGGGAAAATAAGTTATTTCTTTGACATAAATACCCAGGATTGCTGGTCGTATGGTAACTATGTTTAACATGATGAGAAGCTGCCAACCTGTTTCCCAGAATGGGTATACCGTTTTATATTCTCATTAGCAGTGGAGGGATGGTCCGGTTTTTCCCGTATCCTCGTCATCTTTTTCAAAGTTAGGCATGCCAATAGATGGGTCATGATATCTCATTGTGGTTTTAGTTTATACTTTCCTTACGGCTAATTACGTTAAAAACATCTTCATGTGCTTATTTACTGTCCATATCTCCTCTTTGGTAAAATGTGTCTTCATGACCTTTTCTTTTTTGTTTGTTTGTTTTTTTTTTTTTTGAGACGGAGTTTCACTCACGTTACCCAGGCTGGAGTGCAATGGCGCGATCTCGGCTCACCGCAACCTCCACCTCCTGGGTTCAGGCAATTCTCCTGCCTCAGCCTCCCCAGCAGCTGGGATTACAGGCACGCGCCACCATGCCCAGCTATTCATGACCTTTTCTAATTGGCTTTTTTTTTCTGTTGAGTTTGAAGAGTTCATTATATATCGTAGATGTTTCTAGTCCTTTGGCAGATGTATCTTATGCAAATGTTTTCTCCTGGTCTGTAGCTTGTCTTTTTGTTTTCTTTCATAATTATGTTGAAGTCTAATTCATCAGCTTTTTTCTTTTATAGACCATACTTTTGGTGTCAAGTCTAAGTATACTTCTGCCTAGTGCTAGATCCTAAAGACTGTCTCCTATTTTTTTCCTAAACGATCTGTAGTTTTGTATTTTCTACTTAAGTCATGATCCATTTGGATCTAATTTTGCATAAGGTGTAGACTTAGGCTGAAGTTTGGGTTTCTGCCGGTGGGCGCCCAGTGGCTCCACCACCATGTGTTGAAAGGCTATCCTGCCTCCACAGCCTTGCTCTTGCGCTTGGGTCGACAGTCACTGAGGCATATGTGTGGGTCCATTTCTGGGCTCTCTGTCTTATTTCTGATTCCATTGATCCTTACGTCAGTACCACCCAGTTTTGGTTATGGTCTCACAACCACTTTTGAAACTGGGTACACTCGTTCCTCCCCCCATTCTTATTTTTCTATTTCTATTCTTGTTCCTTTGCCTTTCCATATACATTCTATTTATTATTATTATTTTTTTAATATTTTTTCCTTCATGGCCAGTGTGATACCATCCATATACATTTTAGAATAATCTTGTCTGTCTACGAAAACGCTTGCTGGGAATTCTGGTAGGAATTGCATTAAATCTGTGTATCAGCTTGGATGAGTTGACACACCTGCTCCCTCTCACTGCTGAGACCTGGGAGTTGACAGGTAAGTGAGCCTGATCAGACTTCATTGGTGAACGTCTTCTCTATTTGCTGTTTTGTATGCTTTTTTGTCTTGCCTTACTGGGGTGAGATAATACAGGAATTGTAGCATTTGTAAGTGCATTTTATAAAAGCATCTACATCTTTTTGCAGTTATAGTGAAACTTTGCTGAGAATAGCTTCTTTATGGAAGCATGGATAAGTGGTTTTCTTATTCTGAAGGCCTGTTAATGAGCTTAAGAGGTACTCTGCGAAATAGCAAAATGATGCAGATTGCAGTGTGTTTTGGAACAAACCTATAAGGTCAGACTTTATAGAAACAGAGCAAACTGCGATCTTAAAAACAAAATGCCAATTTTATTTTCCTCTTATAGGCGTGCCTTCAGATGCCGATTCTTCTGCTGCTAGTAATAAAATAAGTGGTGCAAGTAGTTCTAAGCCAAACCGCCCTTCTCTTGCCAAGATTCTCCTGTCGTTGGATGGAAATCTGGCCAAACAGCAGGCCTTATCGCACATTCTAACAGCATTGCAAATCATGTATGCCAGGTAGGCTTGTGTGCTAATTTTTGAAATTCTGCAATTATGTGAGCTTCAGGTTTTTGTGATTTTTTTTCATTGATCAAATGTCTCCAAAAATGTCATATTGTTGTCTTTAAATGCTGTGTGTTATAAGTCACGTGTTCTTTCATGGTGATTGATGATATCTTTGTGTGTGTTTTAATAAGCATTGAAATATGAATTAGAAAACTAATTTGGACATTTTCATTATTCTTTTTGGCCAGTAGACTCTGACCATTAATATTTGGGGGAAAAAAAGAAGAATTAGGCGATACTAAGTTATAGTGATGTCTGAGACGACTTAGGGTCCCCTTTGCTGACTTGAGAAGGCTGTTTTGCTAATGTGGCCTTTGCAGTATTTTTCTGCTGTGCCCATCTACTAATATATCGCGCATGTGGACTTGACAGGTGTACTTACATAGGAAAATTAGTTTCGGAACAAAAAGAGTCATTCATTAGAGGCCATTGAGTGCTCGCTGCTCAGTATGTGGCTTTCAGCAAACACAGGATTGCCTGATGATCAGTTATGCAGCCCTAAGGCTCTCTCAGCAGCCCAAGGAGATTTCTCAGGGAGACCCAGAGTCTCATTCTGGTCTGGTTTTTATGTTTGGCAGTTTTTCACCTGCCATTACTCTGGTTTTTCAAATAAATAAGATTCAGAGTAAACATTTTAGCTGTTAGCCAAAGGATTCATGTTGATAACGTTTGGTATTTTTCTAAAACTCTTTTACATGGATTCAGTAAAAATGAGAAAATGCCTCAGTGTGCACTAGTCCTGCCTCGCCACTTTCTGTGGTGCAGGGAAGCAGGCCGCTCACCACAGGCCTGGCTTTGTGTCCCGACAGAGATGCTGTGGTCGGGGCCCTGATGCCGGCTGGCATGATGGCCCCGGTGGAGTGCCCCTCATTCTCGTCGGCAGCCCCGTCCGACGCATCTGCCATGGCCAGTCCCATGAACGGAGATGACTGCACGCTGGTCGTTGATATTGAAGACGGACTGAGTCCAAGTCCATGGCAAGAAAAGAGAGAGGTAAAAGTGAGTCGTAAAGCAACGGTAGATCAGAAGGGAAAAGGTGGCTGCCTTGTGTCCGGGAAGGTCTCATTCCATCACTTAGTTTAGGCTGTTTCTGTGCCTGCTGCTTTGATTTTTGGCTATACTTAGAAGCTCTGTAAAGGAACTTTTAAAGTGCTTCAGTGGAATTAGATTTCTTTTTTAAAAAAAATCATTAAATGCAAGTTCACAGTCTTTGTCTGCAATTCTGAAACCTTAAAGTTCTAATAGTCAAAAATTTTAGTAACTTACTTTGGTGAAAGAACCAATTTGAAGATATGTGAGCTCATTTTAGTCTGGTTCATGTGACCTGCTGTGAAGAGGAATAGTTTTTCTTGAAAATATGGATGTACTCGACTTTGCACGGCTGTTCTAGGCCTGAATGGGGTGATAGCGGCTATGTTGGGTCGGCGCCATGTTACCTCTGTAAAATCTGGAACTTTCCAAACAGCCCAGGTAGTTTTTAGATAAGGCATTTTGGGACTTGCGTAGGAAATGTATTGAGTTTTTCCGCTTAAACTTCCCCTGCTGTGCATTCTTCACCTAGATTGTTTCCTCTGAGGACGCGGTGACCCCCTCTGCAGTGACTCCATCAGCCCCCTCAGCCTCCGCTCGGCCATTTATCCCAGTGACGGATGACCCGGGAGCCGCAAGCATCATTGCAGAAACCATGACCAAAACCAAAGAGGTGAAGAGCTGTTCTTCTTTAACTTTGTATTGTGAAATTATCTTAAATGCACACAGATGCAGAAGTAGTACCTACAAGTAGAACACAGTCTATTCCTCTGCTGTTCACCTGGGCTCTCCACCTGCTAGCGCCTTGGAAGCACGAGTGGGAATCTGCAGGACACAGTCCCTGTCCCTGCTTACTGCTTCCGCGTATATTCCTCCTGGACTGCAGCTCGATCCAGGATTACTTTCAAACCCGCCGAGGTACTCGGAGCTTGCTCATCCTCCCATAGCACCCTTGCAGGCCCAGCACCCCGTCTACGACGGTGCGCTGTCTCTTTCGTCCTCAGTGTGGAACCGTCCTTCAGCTCCTCCATTTTGGCAGACACCACAGGAATGGTGCTGAGTTCCGTCCGTGCCTCCACTGGGACTCAGGCATTGTTGATTTGCTGCATCACTGGTGATGTAGCTTATCACTTGGTTAAGGGTCTCTGCCAAGTTTCTCCCCTGGAAGTCAGTAAGTGTGTTAAGTGCTCATGGAGGGGTGCCTTTGCGATGATGCCAGTGTCTTGCTGCTCATCATACTTTTACCTACCCATTTTTAGCATCTTAAAGATTCTAGCTGAATCCATTGTTACTGTGGTGGTTGTCACATTTTCGTTTTTCACATTGATTGTCACTTCTGGAATGTAATCGTTGCCATTGTTTTGCAAGGGAGAGCTTTCCGTTTTCATCTGTCCGTCTCCCACCCACCTGCCTACCTGTGTGTTTACATTGTATAGACTCAAGTTCATGTCTTAGTCAAATAGTGACATTTGTTGCTTTTGTCATTTGACACCCAAGTTGTCCCAGTGTTGGTCACTGGGACTCCCGTGCACTGGTCGTTGGTACTCCTGTGGACTGGCTCCTTTGTCTGATGTGCCCCCGTAATCTTAGGGCTCTTCCTTCCTTTCCAGCACAGCAACGGGCTCCAGAGTCGTCTTTCACCTCCGGTGCTCTGCCTGGAGTCAGCCATTTCTCCAGGAAGCCATGGTTCCTGCTAATGGCTTGTAGGGTCTGGAAACCAAGATTGGGTGCCTGCTAAGCTGATTGTTACCAAGTGTGTTTGCTTAGGCCCTCTCAGCAAACAGAGCCATGCACACAGGCATTTATTTATCCTTCTGCTTTTGTCTGTATCATAAAAACCGTGAAGAGCCCAAATCAATGCTTTTAATTCCAGCCCAGCACTACGGGGCTTATTCCTCCTCTCTTTCCATATTTCTTGGTGTATAATACTTTTGTATGTGGCTAGATTTGGTTTGCTGCTATTTCGTCGAAGATTTTTACATCTGTATTCATAAGGGACATGGCTCTGTAGTTTCCTTGTATTGTCTTTGGTTTGGGTGTTATAGCAATATTGGCTTCATAGATTGAGTTGGAGGGTGTTTCTTACTCTTCTGTTTTTTAGAAGAGTTGGTGGAGGATTGGGGTTAACTCCTCTTTACACAGTTGGTAGAATTTTGTCTGTCCTTCTGGCATAATCCCTTCGTTCACTGAGTGGCTGCTGGCTTTTTGGCACAACACAAAATGCCAGGCTCAACAAGATGTCTTATGCTCCAACACAGGAAGCCACTGTTGCCCAGGAAGACCTGGCTGTTTCCGGTGGAGCAGGGCATCGAAAGGTTGAGACCTGGGGCCTTCGTGTGCTTATTGCTGTTTGGGCAACAGAGCTAGAGAATGACTGTGTATGTGTAACGTAAGAGGTACATACGTCAGTTTTGTTGTTGTTTTGAGACAGGGTCTTGCTCTGTTGCCCAGGCTGTAGTGCAGTGGCACCATCTTGGCTCATTGCACCCCAACCTCCTGGTGTCAAGCCATCCTCCCACCTCAGTCTTTCAAGTAGCTGCAGCTACAGGCGTGTACCACCACACCTGGCTAATTTTTGTATTTTTTTTTTTTTTTTCTTTTTAAAGATAGGGTTTCGTCACGTTGCCCAGGCTGGCCTTGAACTCCTGAGCTCAAGTGATCTGCCTGGCTTGGCCTCTTAAAGTGCCAGGATTACAGGTGTGAGCCACCGTGTTTGGCCTACATCAGTATTTCTGTTGTCACATATTTACATATAAGGAAAACCACCAGTTCACACGAATATGATTGATTCTAATCCAACTGGGATTTATTCCAGTTTTCATCCTTTCTGTATTTGGAACTTCCTTCTCTGAATGGTGGTCTCCTGTCATCAACAGGCTGTTCACTTGAAGTTCATTCTCCTTAGACAACCAGCCTCCGATCTGGCTGTCCTGCCCTCCGTGGTGGGTACCCTTCTTCCTCTGTGCAGCCTCTGACCCTCAGAACCAGTCTGCTTCATGGACCTCCGTGGTCACCCTGTGTGACCTCTGGCCCTCCCCCCACCTCCGTGTTGAACCCAGAGGCTGGGACCTTCCTCACTTGACTGGGCTCTGTCTCTCCAGCTCCCCATGTGTGGATGCTCTCCCCAGCATGCTGAGGCACTCCCCACACCAGGCTGGGCCCTGCTCGTGTGTGCTCCCATGCCAGCCTTCCCATCTTGGGGACAAATGCTTTATTTTTAGTTACATTTGGAACCCTTGATTTATTATGCTGTTACTACTGGCAGAAAATATGTCCAACGGAAATTATTTGTAACCATCCATGGCAATAAGAAAGTCTCTATTTATAAATTAGGTGTCTGGAATCAACTTCTCATTTTTGGCAGTGTCCTGGGATGAGGGTTTAACGTAGAACTTAATCTGAGGAAGGCAACATTTTTGTTTTTAGGTAGAAGGATGATATGATTTATTTCCTCCCATTTATTTATGAGACATAGGCATTATCCAGATTGTAACCCTGAATTTCTGTTATTTCAGTTTTGGTTTGACTCATGAATTTAAGGCAAAGCAGTTTTAATGTTCATATTAACTATGATTCATATTTAAGAATATGCTGCTAGTGATTTTCTTCCTTAGCAATTCTTGGAGATATTTTCTGTGTGTGTGTGTGTGTGTGTGTGTGTGTGTGTATTTTAAGACACCCTCATCAAAAAAATATTAGGCACATTTCAATCTCAAGACTAAAGATTGTATGTTGCACTGAATGCTTTTGCTGTCCTTCAGTGAGCTATGCTCTGGAATGTCAACATTTATAATGAATTTCACTTGCTCCTTGGGTCTGCAGGCAGAGGCAGGAGCAAGGTTTGTTTCCCTAAAGGGAGAAGAACCTTGTTCCTAAATCAGAGTGATGTGTGTTTCCAGGGCCCACTGGTTGGATCATTTTCCCTTAAGGGGAACGTGTGGGGCTCTTCTTCCCCTGCCATGTTTATGTTTGTGGAAAGAGTTGCGCTGGATTTGCTGAGGTCTGGAAATCAGGAGAGAACAGAGGCACTTCCCTTAGCTCTCATTCTCCCTCTGGGGAGCCAGACTCTGCCTGGGGGATGAGAAGGGCTTGGCCTACCCGCTGCTCTGCACAGGGTCACAGCGGTTCCCATGCTGGGTCAGAAGCGGTGGGAGCCCCTGGCTCTGACAAACGGCCTTTCCCTTTTCCACGAGCTCAGCCCCGATGCTGCCCTCCAGGAACCTCTTGTGTGCTGACAGGCCGGGTGGGGGTAGCCATCCTGGGCAAGGCACGTCCATGGGGTAGGAGCTGGGGGTGCAGTGATGCTGGGAACTGGCTCATGGCAAACGAGGGGAGGTGAAGGGTCACGATGCGATGTGTTTAGGCTGACATGACAGGAATGGGAAGCGCGAGTGGCCACAAGAAGACTTCTTTGTATGATGTTTTCAGTGAGCCCAAGGAGTGAGAGATTATGGACAGTGTGTTACGTGCCAGTGAGTCTCTTAAAATAAGATCCTAGGAAAGAATTATGGAGAGAATCTAGACATATGTAAAATTATACAGTACAAATTTAGTTTATAAATGATTCCCAAGCATACCTTACAGGTAAGGGTAGATTTTACAGGATGCAACTCCATTCCAAAACTCCCCCTGTAGTATCTGCCTGTGATCCAAACTTGGTCGTAGTAATAAATTGTCATTTCTTTATGGATTAAGTCATCCCTTTTTGATAAATGCTATTGGCAATATAACAGTTAATTGGTTTTCAAAACGTAATGCATGGCTTGGTGGAGATTTTAGGGGCCGTCATTTCTTAATCTGTTTTCTTAAGATCTTAAACACTTTCAGGTCCCTCACTTGTTGGTATTCATGTGTCCTCTGAGTTTATGGATAAACTGGTGACCGTTTATTATCTCGGAACGTATCATTTCTCATGTTAATTGTTGGATGTTATTTGACTTAGGACGTTGAAAGCCAAAATAAAACCGCTGGTCCAGAGCCCCAGGCCTTGGATGAGTTCACGAGTCTGCTGATTGCTGATGACACCCGCGTGGTGGTGGACCTGCTCAAGCTGTCCGTGTGCAGCCGGGCTGGGGACAGGGGCAGGGAAGTGCTCTCCGCTGTGCTTTCCGGCATGGGGACCGCCTACCCCCAGGTGAGTCTCAGGGAGGGCGGGGCTGTCTGACTGCATGTCCTCCACGCTGGGCCAGCCTCCCCTCCAAGGGAGAGCTGCTGTGGGTCGCTGGTGATCTTGTGCTGGGTTTCATCCTAGTTGACGGCAGGTTAGGGGCACTCCTTTAACACAAAACGTTTTAGTATCGACCCCAGTGACATCCTTGACCTGTTTTAGAACTGATTTGTGCATCTTTTAAAAAAATTATTTGTCAGAGTTCTTGAAGTAAGTCCCTTTTGTGTCGTATGTTTTTCAGTTTCCACCCGTTTATCTTTTGATACTAGTTTGATATTGTCATGTACAAATTTTTAATTATATGGTCAAATCTGTTAGTTTTTTTTCATTTATGCCTTCTAAGTTTTGTATTATGCTTTAAAAAATGCTTGGTTTTTTTTTTTTAAGAGATGATGTTTCACCATGTGGTGCAGGCTAGTCTCAGATTCCTGGGCTCAAGTAATCCACCCAGAGTGCTGGGGTTACAGGTGTGAGCCACTGTGTCTGGCATTCTTCTTTTAATTTTTATTTATTTATTTATTTCCTAACCACTAGACAATCAGGGATTTTCTTTCTTTTTTTTTTTTTTTTTTAAATTGCATTTTAGGTTTTGGGGTACACGTGAAGAATATGCAAGATTGTTGCATAGGTACACACGTGGCAGTGTGATTTGCTGCCTTCCTCCCCATCACCTACATCTGGCGTCTCTCCCCTTGCTATCTCTCCCCAACTCCCCACCCCCTGCTGTGCCTCTCCTATTTCCCCCCAACAGACCCCAGTGTGTGGTGCTCCCCTCCCTGTGTCCATGTGTTCTCACTGTTCAACACCCACCTATGAGTGAGAACATGCAGTGTTTGATTTTCTGTTCTTGTGTCAGTTTGCTGAGAATGATGGTTTCCAGGTTTATCCATGTCCCTACAAAGGGCATGAACTCATTGTTTTTGATGGCTGCATAATATTCCATGGTGTATATGTGCCACATTTTCGCTGTCCAGTCTATCATCGATGGGCATTCATCTGATTAAAAGGGAGACTGAAACAGGGAGCCAGGCCAGGAGATTCCCAGGCAAAAAAGCGCCACGAATCTCAGCGCTGCTGTTTCAGCCAGCACAGTGAGTCGCCGCAGGGGAAATCACACAGATCCCAGCACCTTTTCAGCAGGCGACTGGAACACCTGAAGAGAGTCGACCGTTCAACTAAAAAGAAGGGCTCTGAGGCGGGGAGAGGTGATCAGGCTCGGCTGGTCCCACCCCAGCTGAAAAAAAAACAGCAATTAGAAACGCTCTGGGTTGAGGGTTTTACAGCAAGGACAGCTGAACCCGGGATGCTCCAGCTGTGGGGGAGGGGCATCCGCCATTACCGAGGCACTCCACCACTACGGAGGTAGTCCGCCATTGCTGAGGCAGCCCGCAATTACAGAGAGAGTCCACCATTACAGAGGCGGGCCACCATTGCCGAGGCAGTTCTAACTACGCCCATATAAACAGGACTGCAGGGAAGTTCACATGGCAGCTGGGCGGAGCCCACAGCAGCTCAGCAAAGCCTCTGCAGGCACACAGTGACTAGGCCGCCTCTTAGGGCAGCCTTGAAAAAAGGCAGCAGCGTAATAGAAACTCATAAATAAAGCCCTAACTCCCCAGGACAGAGCACCTGGGGAAAAAAAGGTTTATGAGTTCTGCAGCAGACCTAAACGTACCTGCCCAGCAGCTCTGAATGAACAGCGGAGCTCACAGCTCAGCACCTGAGCTCCAATAAAGGACAGACTGTCTCCTCAAGCAGCTCCCTGACCCCTGTATAGCCAAAGAGTCACCTCATAAAGGAGAGATCAGACTGACATTTGGCGAGTATCCTTCTGGGACAAAGATAGCAGAAGAAGAAACTGGCTGCAACCCTTACTGTTCTGCAGCTGCTGCAGGTGATCCCCAGGCAAGCAGGGCGCGGAGTGGACCTCAGCAGTCCTACAGCAGAGGGGCCAGACCGTTAGAAGGAAAACTAAGGAACAGAAATAACTTCATCATCAACAAACTGGATGTCCACTCAGATGCTTGTTTATGTGACATTGTTTTGAATAAGTTCTTCTAAATTTTCTTCTAAGTTTTTGGAGACAGAGTCTCCTTCACACAGGCTGGAGTGTGGTGGTATGGTCTTGGCCTCCCAGGACCACCTCTGCCTCCTGGGATCAAGCGACTCTTGTGCCTCAGTCTCCTGAATAGCTGGGATTACAGGCATGTGTTGCAACGTTTGGCTATTTTTTGTAGTTTTAGTTGAGATGGGGTTTCACCATGCTGGCCAGGCTGATCTCAAATTGCTGACCTGAAGCGATCCACCCACCTCAACCTTCCAAAGTGCTTGGGATTACAGGCATGAGCCACCATGCCTGGCCTTCTAAGTTTTTATGATCTCATGTATTATTTACATTTCTTAGCCACCTGGGATTTATCTTGTTATAAAAATAAAGTAGGGATCCAACCTTATACTCGGCCGTAAACCAGTTGCCCTAACATCATTTATTGAATAATTCATCTTTTCCCTGGTGATTTAAAAACCAGTTTTATATTCTAAATTCCCATATGCATTTGGGTCTAGTTACAACACGTTTTAGGCGCTCGTACCATGATATTTTAACTATTACAGCTTTAAAATATCTTTTAATATTTGGTAGCACTGGGTCAGTAGGACTTTGTCATTGTGGAAATGTTCTGCACCTGAGCCGTCCAAGATCATTGCCACCAGCCACATGGGGCCACTGGGCGCTGAATCGTGGCCAGTACACCTGAGGAACTGAAGGATAAAAAACTCAACGTTAGGCACAGGTGGCTAGGAGCTGTTGAAGTGGTCTCCAGGTCTGCAGCATAAAGCCAGTATAAAGCAGTAGAAAGTCTTATTAGTATGTCTTAGAAATAGGACTCATCAGTCCTAAAGGCCATGGGCTCTCCTTCCTTAAGAACTCTTGTTACAAGCGGCCGTGTTCCGCCCTGCCAGGCAGCCCGAGGCGTCTTTCCTGGCTGCAGACACTTCATCCATTTCTCTGAGTGGTGACTTTGTGTGGAGAAAAGTCTTATTCTCTCACTTAGTTTAGGCGGTTTCTGTGCCTATTATGATTTTTGGCTTTAGTTAGAAAGCAGAATATTCTCTTTAAAGGAACTTCTAAAGCTTTAAAGTAGAATTAGATTGTTTTAAAAAATCATTAAATGCAGGTTCATAGTCCTTTGTCTGCAATTCTGAAACATCAAAGCTCTGATAGTCAGAAATTTTGGTAACTTACATGATCACCAAAATGAAAAAGTACTTAGGTAGAGTTGAGCAGTCTTGAAAGCACAGCAAAGGTTTGGTGGATATTTTAGGGGCCTGTTATTGCTTTATCTGCGGTTCATGAAGATCTAAAAAGCTATAGGTTTCCTTTTTTCTAGTTTTTTGAGACGACTTACTTGGCATAATTCTACAAGATGAAATCAAGGTGAATTGCCATAAGTACTGTTACTGTTTTTCATAAGTATTGCGTTTGTGAGACGGAAGGATATGATTGAGAACTTCGACTTAAAATAATGCTGAGCATTTGCCATGCACATCCCCACGTTCTCAGTACAAAGGGTAGGGGTTACCTTTACATATGGACAAGGAAGCTGAGGCTGAGAGGTCATTGTGGCTTGAGCACACTCATTTTGTTGTAGGTGGAAGAGATGGGTTGGAACCCTGAGTGTTCTGAGCCCCAGCTCTGCCGTGACCCCTCTGCAGATGATAGGCTTTGCAGAGGAACCTTCTGAAGGCCAGAGCCCCTGGTCCACTCTGCACATGGGTGCCTGATGATGCCAACATTTGCTTTCAGTAACTCAACCAGGTTCCAGGAGAGGCAGGAATAAGGATATAGCCATTTTCAAACTGCCCTTGCCAGGTTGGCAAGATGGCAGTTTCAGTGTCCTGCCCTGACCTGATATTTGGGACTCAAAAGGAGAGACAAATTTAGGTTTAAAACATGCCTATATGACAGTGATACAGCTTGTTAATGTATAATATATTTACTAAGCAAAGCTATTTCATACCTAAATATGAGGAAAAATAGAAAAAAAAAGAATAATCAATTTCTGTAAAGTATAGAATGGGCATTAGAAGAGTTTTGTTTTTTCTGAATTAAAAATGTGGGGGTTGGCCATGCGTGGTGGCACACACCTGTAATCCCAGCACTTTGGAAGACCAAGGTGGACGGATCACGAGGTCAAGAGATTGAGACCATCCAGGCCAACATGGTGAAACCCTGTCTCTACTAAAAATACAAAAATTAGCTGGGTGTGGTGGCGCATGCCTGTAATCCCAGCTATTCAGGAGGCTGAGGCAGGAGAATTGCTTGAACCCAGGAGGCGGAGGCTGCAGTGAGCCGAGATTGCGCCACTGCATTCCAGTCTGGTGACAGAGCAAGACTCCATCTCAAAAATTGAGGGTGGGTTAATAGATTGTTGCTATTATGACGTATTCTCTCATTTGTTTTTAAAAATAACAAAGTTTATAATCACCACTCTTAACCTTAATCTTAAAAGACGTCAATCACCAGTAATTTTTAAAAGAAAACCACACTGTGGATTGTTGAGAATGTGGCGTGGGTCTGGCCCCTAGTGTCCTGGGTCAGGAGGCACAGCTGTGTTGGGATCGGGGGCCCCTCCCGTCGGAGACTCTCCTGCTCTCTCTGGCCTGGATGGCTTGATCCCGTGTCTCCCAGCAGGCTCCTTTGCCTTCCAGGACTGTGGTCATTTTCACTCGCTGGCTGCTCCTTCCCTTGATGTTTTCTTTCCGAGGCCGACGTTCCTCACTAGGAAGTAATCTTGTCTTGGTGTAAAAGAAGCTGTCGTCACCATGGTGTTTCATTTTATCACCTGGCCCGTATTCAGTGTTGTGTGTGTTGGAAGCCTTCCCACCACTTTTTTTTTTTTTTTGAGACACAGTCTGTCTCTGTCACCCAGGCTGGAACACAGTGGCACGATCGCAGCTCACTGCACCCTCCGTCTCCTGAGTTCAGGCGATTCTCCTGCCTCAGCCTCCTGAGAGTTGGGACCACAGGCGTGGGCCACCATGCCTGGCTACTTGTTTGTATTTTTAGTTGTGACAGGGTTTCACCATATTGGCCTGGCTGATCTCAAGTGATCTGCCTGCCGCAGCCTCCCAAAGTGCTTCTATTACAGGTGGGAGCCACTGCACCCCACCCAACGACTTTCTAATACAGATCAGCACCTTACAAGCTCTCTGCTCTCTCTGTTTTATGTGCAAGGAAGCTGAGCCAGGATTTGAACTCAGCTTCTCAAACTCCATGCCCTCCGCTCCACCCTGTCATTGTGGAGCTCCAGGACAGGATGAGCAGAGGGAGCATGCAGGTGACCCAGGTGTGGAGCCGTCGGCCTCCTCATTCGTGTCCTTGCTTCCTCCCCAGGTGGCTGATATGCTGCTGGAGCTCTGCGTCACCGAGTTGGAGGACGTGGCCACAGACTCGCAGAGCGGCCGTCTCTCCTCTCAGCCTGTGGTGGTGGAGAGTAGCCACCCTTACACCGACGACACCTCCACCAGCGGCACAGTGAAGATACCAGGTGGGAGGGCCAGCCCCAGGGAGGAGCTGCGGCGTTTCCCACCTTCAGAACGGTGTGATTCTGTCATTGCTTCAGTCGAAACAACCATCTCTGTTTTATAAAAAGAAGTTACAGGATTGCTTTCAAATCAGTCTCCTCCCCTTTTCTAACAAACTCCTTTTGCACAATAAATCACGATACAGAAAGTCACACAAAGTAAATGTTTAGCTTCATGATAATCAGGCAGATGCCCTGGTCATTATAACCCAGGTCTAGACATAACCTGTGCCAGATCCCAGAACCCCTCAGTGTGTCCCCCTGAAGTCTCTCTGAGTGACATTCTCCTGGCTTTGCACCATCACTGACTTGCAGAACCCCTCAGTGTGTCCCC